GGAATTAACTTAAAAGGGGGAAGAAAGGCCCCTGTTTTGCCCTCATTTTGCATGGACAGGTTCAGTGGGACTTTTAGAAGGTAGATCAACTGTCTGATGACTTTTAATTTTATGACTTTTTTATAATTTTGAGAGGAGCATCATGCTATGCTTGCAACATCCATTCTCTCATGCCTGACTGGCTTAGTAATCATGAGTAATAACATCATACCATACAGAAGCAGTAAAAATATACAAACCTGCAATTTCTCTGATCACACACCCTAACTGTTCAAATATCAACAAGACCAAAATCTTCTCTAAAAAAGAAAAAATAATCCAAGTTTTCTATGGTTTTGAGGCTCACTGAAATTTCTGTCTAACAGCAGTTCAGTGATAACAGAATTGAGAAATATGCTCCACAGGAAAAGATAACAAAGAGTTGATGTTTAAGCGATTTCAGAATAATTTCTGAATTTTATTATTAGTTTATATCATAATGGTTCCTCAGCCCTATTTTAAGTATCTTAGGGAAGAACACTTTGTAACCCAGTTAAAATGCTTCCTCATTGGACAGAAATCAATATCCAACAAGGCAGCAATGACCTCAAATTTTGTTACGCTCACCACAGAAGCATTTAAAATACGAATCCCAGGGAACTTACTGCAAAGTTGAACAGGTTTAAATAATCCAGTGTAGTAAAAGAAGCTTCTAACACTTCATCTGGAGAAGACTGCCTATTCCTGGGAAGAACCTAGGAAGAGAAGACTGACTGTTCCTCCTTCCACCATCCATATCCACAGGGTTGGGGTGGCTGTGCCTGTTTGACTGGAGACAAGGCAACTCCCAACATCCGTGTGTCATGGAGTGAGGGAGTCAAGGTGAGCCACTCTTGAGACCATACTCCCTGTGTGCCAATGCTATGTTGTTTGGGGTGGAAGAGCTGAGAAAGTTCGTTGCTCCATTGTCTTTACTTATCCATAGTCCCTTTGAAGGTCATGCAAGCTCTATTACTGGAAACAGCATGAGAGAATAGCTCATGTATAACTCAGACATGTATATGCTTACATATACACCCACGTACATACTTGGATCTATACATATGTTCTTCATATAGATATATATATATATTCCTGTGGGCATTGGGTATCTTTATCTGTGTTTCTGGAGTAGGGCTCATAAGACAGTGCTGTGCTACATGCCATGCATATGGCATAAAACCTTGCAGAAAAAATCTTCACTATACTGACTAGAGATATCATTATTCCAATTACAATAATACTAACACAGACAGATCGATTTATCCAATTATTGTTCACTATGATTAATTCTTTAGTTAAAATTGTTATAGACAGATTTGCTGGTATTCAGTCCTTTCTCTGGTGCTAATGGTAACCCTTTCCATGGCCTGCTGGGTCCTAAGGTCAGTGGTGCCACTCTTAAGAGGGAAGGTTTGAAGTGAGTCACCAGTGTCCCAAGTTTTTTGTTGGGAAGTGTCTGCCCAATATGTGTGTGTGGGCAGGGGCATCTGTTCCTCCTTGGTTTAGTGTCCACTTAGCATTATTTTTACATGCTCTCTGTTTTTTTGTGGTCATCCATTCTTCCCCTACCGGCCCACAAGCCCACAAGTTAGTTATTGTAACTGCTTAGTTTTATTAGACTTTTATCACAAATGGCCACACCACACCATTGCAGGATCATCTTTAAGCTGTAGCAGAAGATGGTGCAATGGCATCTTGATGCTTTCCTGATTCTTGAGCAATGCTTTGCTGGTAGAGCTGAACAGGACTAAGGGGCTTCACCATCACACTTACTTAAGTACTGATTGTTTTAAATGATACAGTGGATTGCTATGATCACTGGTGGAATGGAGAACTAAAAGGATGGTCAGGTCATTCATTTGAGAGGTAAAGGGTACATAGACTCACTTACTTGGTGTTCCAGGACATGCAGTGAGAAATTTACAGCTTAAATTAGAAACAGACTCTGGTCTTTTTCCTCAGTTGCAAGGGTAATTAAATTCTGAGCTAATTAAACTGGAGAGTTAAATTACTTTGCTTATTTTATTGTGCCCTCTAAAAACTGTGCATCAACATAGTCATCAGACTGGTGAGTGCTTGTAAAACACTTCCCTTTTTTGCTGTTGGTGTTCAGAGGGAGATCCTGGGGGCCTTCAATGTTCACATCCATCTCTGCTCAAACCCACTTTTGTCAGGACCCAGATGTCTCTGAGCAGCAGAGAAGCAGCAAGCACCAGACGTTCAGAAACAGAGACACCCCTAGGAAACCTGAAGAGAAGGAAGCTCACTGACCAGATACAATTCTCATGTTCACCTCGTGAATCTGAAAACAGCAAGACAAGAATATTGTCTCCTCAAGGAGGCAAGTATGAAAGTCCTGGTGTAAAGTCAGCTTGTGTCTCCAGCCTCCTGGCCCATGCAAACTGAGGGGCTCGTGTGGGATTTATTTTGGTGGCACCCCTTCATACCCTGTGCCCAGAGCAGGTGTTTGAGCAGCGGAGGGCCATGGCTTGCCCCTGTCCTCCCCTTTGCTGTCTTTGACCCAAAGTATCACCACAGGGCTGGGAGGACAGAAGGGGAAAATGCCAACTGCTTTCAGTGTGTCATCCTCTTGCTTCTCTTGCAGGGAAGGGAGTAATACTGCTTTACCCCAGCTTGTGCTTCCTCCAGGAGCCACCCCATGCAAAAACAGCCTTTCCTCAGGTAACAACACCCTACCTTCAGTGGAAGTTTAAGTGGCAATGGGGTAACAAACCAGATTCGGGTTATGACTGTGGGAAAACAACTTTATCCTCTTGAGAGTTAGGTTGTAAAAACATTTTCTTATTAGCAAGCCATTTAAAGCATGAGAAAAAAAATCTGGTATTTTAGTCTGCGTTCCAGCCAAGCAGTGCCTGGTAAGGACTCTGTATTTTTTCCATTAATTAAGATGCTTTAATTAGCTGGGACAACTAATTTAAATCAGCTCTAGGAATAGGTATAACCCTCAAGAGAGCAAAGGACAATGACTGCATTAATTCATACTAGTCTGAGGGGAAAATCTGCTTTAGGAAAGGCATTCAAACAAGTAGACTGAGGCATCATTGGATGTACTGCTGGTCACTTAAATGCAGCAGGGGGTTTTTTGGTGTTTGGTTTTTTGGGGTTTTTTTGCAGACAGTCCCTGTTGGTCCTTTCTAGAGTTACAGTCACAGGTTGTTGGTTTTTTCCCTGTAATGTGATTCCAGCTGGATTTTTGCGTGGACAAGAAAATACACTTCTAACAAACCCAAAAAATAATCAGACATCCTTGCTTTCTTGTTTGCACAAGCACACTTCTATCGACTAAGGAGGAAAATGGAAAACAAGGTGCATATTCTGATCAGCCACTGTGATTATTCTAGCAATATCTTTGTGTGTTAAACTCACTGATCTGTTTATCACTGCAGTAAGGCCTTGTTCTGCAGAACAGGTAGAGCCGTATACAGGTGCAGATAAATCTAAAGACTACTGTTCTCTATACTGAAACATGCCAGTAGGCTGGCCTGTGGAAGGATTTTGACACTAGACACAAAAAAAGAAAGTGTTTACTCAAGAGTGAAGTGTTCTAACTAACCAAAACCTGCCAGAGAGTAGGGTCCTTATCATTGGCACAGCTGTGCAGCTGCCTCCAAATCCAACAAAATACAGCAATTTTAGAAAGAGCAGCAACTTCTCAGCCTTATACAAACAGCTGGACATAGTTTGCATGGGCACAACATTTTTTCCTATCCCCTGCACTGCCATGAATTCTTCATATCAGATTTGAAGCAGGATCTCAAGTGCTTTGAACTTAATGAGACTCTGCTTCTTTTTCCTCAGGAAATACCACTTGGATATTAAGAAACACATCATTCTATGCTGACAGAAGCGTAAGTTCTGCAGGACATGCATGTGAATCATAAGACAGCAGATTAAATTTAGTTCTGCAGATCAGCTGATCCACTTTCTCCAGGGAGCTTGTCAGAAAGAACAGGGACGTGAAAACACTCTTGCAAAAGTCTCCACCCTGCATTCAAGTAATGGTGTTGCATTGCCCACTCTCCACCCTGGCAAATGTTGTACATCCCTATCAGACCTATGTAAGGGTCCTCATTCACCACTTTGAATAACGCCAAAAAGCTGGTCAGCATCAATACAAAGCTTATATTTTTCACATACTATTAATTTCATCATTATTTCAGGAAATCTGGATTTGTTTGGGAGTTTCTTTGTTGTTGTTTTTTGGGTTTTTTTGGTTCTTGTGTTTTAAAATGGAAATCTGTTGAAAAAAAACAATTGCTACTCAATACACCAGGAAGGCCTCTTCAAGCAAGCAATTACAGCAGAAGATATTAAATAAGTCTTCTGCAATATGATGGGAATGATTTAAGAGGGTTACAGGAAGCTGGAGCCTGCTGTTCTGTGACAAATTATTTCCCTGAGAAAACCCAGTTAGTGAAATATAATCACATCATGGAATTGGTCTTGAAATATCACTAGCTCCAGGGTCTGGAAATCAGCAGCCCCCAGTGACCTTGTATTTAACATCTTTATTCATGATCTAGGAAAAGAAAAGGTAAACAACATAAAGGATAAATCAGTAGACAAGAAGGGCATTCATCTGAAGCAGAGGTTGGCAATGTCAGGTTTGTTTAGTCCATGGGGAACTCGAATGGAAAGAGATCTAAATAGAGAACTCAAGCAGGATGTTATAGGCTACATCAAAAAAAAACCAAGACTGACGAGTCATTTAAGGGCAGGACAGAATGGAGGGTTGTGAAAAGGGAGAGCAAGGCAAGCAGAAGCAGAGGAAAAAATGAGCTTATTGATGTAATTTACTGTGATGTGAGAAGCGCACGTTGCACACCTGAAGCTAAGAGGTCTGGAAGCCCTTTGCTTCTCAAACACTGCCGCACTCAAACATCAGCCCAGATCACCAAGATCAGAAAATGAGGAGTGGAGGTGCAAATTGTACCTTCCCACCCTCTTCATCTTGAAAAATGCGAGTCGTTGTGGCACCATATTGTGAGCTGTCCCCTGGGGCCACTGGCAACCCCGTCAGCCCTCAGGGCAACTCCCAGGGTGTCAAGCAGGTAGGAAGGCCAGCTTCCCGCCATGAGAACCCAAGTGTTTGGTTTGTGGGACCCCAAAGACTCTGTCAGTGGCTCCAGAATGGATTGATTTCACTCACAAGCGAACAGGAGGACCAGGACATTCCAGCACCCTGTTCCCTAGGACACAGAAGACTGTGCCCAGAAGATGAGCAAAACAGGGAGGCTACGTTGTGGAAACCTTAGGCTTGAATTCCATGGCCAAAACTGAGTGGGTAACTGTAAGTGCTTAAAGCAACTGCAAAATCTCTGTACAGTGCTCAGCAACACCATAGGATGCTCATCCCTCCCAGAAGGGACGTGGGCTGGAGGAAGTACCAACTCTTCCCATGTGCAGCAGCATGAGGAAATGGTAAAAGAGGCCACAACCTTCCCAAGCAGAAGCTTTCCAACTACACCCTTCCCTCCCTGTGCAAGAACGCTGCTGGCAAACTGAAACTTAGGCTGAGGGAGCAGCACCCATGGCTTTCCAGCGCAGGGGGGTTTCCAGTGTCCCCCTTCCCGGAGGGCAGGGAGAGGCTGCTGAACACGGTATACCCTGTAGGATAATCCAGAGATGGATGATTGATGACTGTCTCTTTTGGCTTCCTCACACTATACCCCACGTTAGAGCTGCCTTGTATTCCCCGTGGAGCAAGAGTGGCACCTGGTGGCCACGTCCCCCTCGCAGTAGCCACAAGCTGATTTTTTTATTGCTATTTTTTTTGAATGCTCGGCACAGCGCAAATGACAAGGGAGTACTTTGCATAAAGCATCCGCATTGACTAGATCAGTGACAACTGCAACGAAGCCACTGAAGGGTCTGGAGAACGTGTCTTACAAGGAGCGTCTGAGGGAACTGGGGTTGCTTAGTCTGGAGAAAAGGAGGCTGAGGGGAGACCTCATTGCCCTCTACAGCTACCTGAAAGGAGCCTGCAGGGAGGTGTCAGTCTCTTTTACCGAGTCACAAGCAATAGGAGAAGAAATGGCCTCGAGTTGCACCAGGGAAGTTTAGATTGGTGGATATTAAGAAAAATTTCTTCACAGAAAAGGGTTGTCAGGCATTGGAACAGGGTGCCCAGGGAAGTGGTTGGGTCACCATCCCTGGGGTGTTTCAAAGAGCTATAGATGTGCTGCTAAGGGACAGGGCGCAGCGGTGGGCTTGGCAGTCTTAAGTTAACAAACGGACTTGAGGATCTTCAAGGTAATTTCCAACCAAAACAGTCTGGTGATTTTTTGACACCCTTCGTTACGCAAGTAGTGCCAAGCCACGGTTTGTTGTTGCAGCACATCCACTGCATGAGCCTCCCTACCCACATAATTAGGCTCCTGGGAGTAGGAAGGAAGGGAGGAAGGAACGAGGACCTGTCCTAGCTTGTTGAAAATATGTATTATTTATTTCTTGGTTGCTTAAGAAAACAAAATAAAATAAAATCAGAGCTTCCTATATGGGCAGAGATAAAACAAGCCTGGTTCCAATCAGCTACCAAATGTGCATCCCTAGAGATGCTCAGGGCCACATGTGCCTTGGAATAAAATCTTGTTATTCCCCTGTCTGTCTCAAACATTTTGTGCCTCTGCAGGACACGACTTCTGTAATTCCCTGCACTCTGCAACCCCTGTGAATAATAAATGTGCTCTGAGGCAGAACTTCTGCCAGGGGTGCTCCTCACATCACTGACTTGTCTGGCAAGCTGAATTTTTGATGCAGAAGGGCTCTGTCTGAGAGACAAACAGAAAAACAAGCCCACACAAAGCAATGAACCTAAGGCAGCCTGTTTTCATTGAATTCAGATCTTGCTGCTGAGTGGTTTTTGTATGGCTGGAGTGTGAGTGCTTCATTAGAGATCAGAGACTGAAGGGTTTTCTGTCCTCTTACTTCTGACAAAAAAAACTCTTATTGGAAGTTTTTCAGCAGCTGGGCCTCTGTTTCTCTCCTGGGCAGGGTATTTGCTGTCAAAAAGCAGATGTACTCAAACTTCTGCCTTTCCCTGTTTGAGACTTTTTTGTTGTTGCTGTTGCCCAGCTGCCCCTTTCCTGAAATTCACAGGAAAATACAGTCTTTCCAGGCACACAATGTGATAGCACAACCTGTGCTTCCCTAGGAAAAGAGGCTGCGAAGTCTGGGGCTGCATGAAAACAACATCCAACTTCCCAAACTTCCTACAGCTGTTGTTCCGCAGAGAGATGATGACAGCAAAGATGAAGCAATAACTGCCACAGAGCAAAGGTCACCAGGGCTGGCTTTTCTATGTGGCAGGCTCAGCTTCCTGGGCAACACAACTACACTCAGGGAGGGAAATCTGCCTGTTTGGCATTGCACCAGCACAGGCAGAAACCCAAGAAATGGTGATTTTATGTGAGCACTGCCATCAATTTTAATGAAGAGTAGGATCTGCAGGTACAGCCTGTAGATGGCTTCTCTGGCTTTTTTACCCAAGTGACCCCTGAGGTATCAGAAATATGATAGTACGTGCATCTCTGATGTATCCTGGAAGGTTCTCCTGGTGAAGAAAGCAAAGAAGTACTAACATCCTTCCCTCCAAGTTTTTCCTCCTGTCCTGCTCCAAGAGTTGCATCCCTGCAATGGCAGAGGCTGTAAAAGAAAGAGGTAAAAGAAGGGAGAGAGATGCTAGGCAGAGTGTTCCATCACTGGGAACAAGTGCTAAGAATACGGTCATTCAAAGACAACCACATAGGAGTGCAAGATGGAAAGAAAAACAGCTTTGAGGGACAAAGGATTTATTCTTTCTTGTTTGTCCTTGAGATCTGCCCACAGATGGCAGAGGAGCATTAATATTCTTGGTCCATCTTCTCTGGAGATGCAGAGCTCACCCTCAGCCTGCTCTAGTCCCCTCCTCATTTTGTTTCATATGGCTGGATCAAGGAAAACATTGCCAATCCCCTAACCCCAGTCAAGTACCATGCAGCTGAGCTGGACAGGTCTTGCTGCTGGGTCAGAGATCTGCTCACACAGAAGAGCAGAGCCATGGTAAGCCACAGCCCAAGCTCAGACTGCTGTCGTCACACCAGTGCAATGCTGAGGGTCAGTCTCTTCTTCTGACACAGGGATTTTTCTGGTTTAGCTTATGTCATGTTGAAACGGGTTTAAAACAAGCGGGAAAAAAAGCACCACTGCTGTTTCACAGCAAAAACATCCACACAGGCCAGCAGCCTGGTTGAAGGACTGAATTAAATTCACCAGTAATTGCTAAAATGTTTCTGCCCAAAACCACTCAGTGAGGACTTGTACCATGTTTTGCAAGGTCTGTGCAGAAGTAGGAGGAGTGGTACAACAAGGGCCTATTTTGACCTCCATGTCACATGCTTCTTCCACAGCAGATGCAAACGGGGAAATGCCACCACCTTTCTCCATCCCAACACCTCCCAGGCAAAAGCTGCCCTCAGAGGTCAAGACAGGCAACTGTTCTGCTTCTGGGAAAGCACATCTCTACAAGGCACGTTCTTGCTCCGTGGCTGGAGCCAGGAGGTATCTGCTGAGGGCTAATGGTCAGCAGCACAGAAATGGTTACAGACACAGCAGGGCAAAAGAAGAGGCACCAACCTCCTTTGTGTGAAATACACTGCAGGACTCAAATGTAAAGCTATAGGGTTAACAAAGGGCTGGAAAATGCCATCCAGAACTGCATTCATTTCATAGCTCTCCTGTGCTGAAAGAGAACAAAAGGAAGAAAAAAAACAAGAGTGCTCCCAGCCTACAGAAGGTAGAAGGATAGGGAGAAAGCAAATTAACATTAAACTTTAAATAACAATATTAACAAAAAATCAGAAATAAATTGTAAATTGACATTAAATAGCAGGGCTGTCTAAGGGCAGCAGGATACATCCCTTTCATCTCCAGTCTACATTCAATAGTCACAACATCCATGGGTAAAAAAAATACTCAGGTGCTGGACAGCCTGGAGAGACAACCTCCAAGTTGTTTGGTTAGACATGTGTCCCCACCAGAGGAGGACAGCAATGATAACTGGTCCTCTGAAAGAAGGATCACTTCTGTTGGGGGAGATGTCAAGGCTCCCTGAAGCAACAAACCACGGAAATGTCTCACTGACAAAATTCTCTTGACACACAAAACTAAGAGATCCCAGTAATGAAGAAAACTCTTTAGACAAAATTTCCTGTAGCCACTTGCTTTGTATCACCAGAGAATTGTTATCATTCAGAAGAGCTTTACAGTGAGAAAAGTAAAACACTAGGTCATAAAGAAGAAGCCAGATTTTTTATTTACTTTTACAAAGATGAGCAGAAATTCAACATTAAGCTGTTCCCACTGTCCACTCATATACAATAAAAAACCTGGGCCCCAGGTACAGCCTGTGCAGTACAACCCAGCATTCCTCCTATGAAAACTGATGCAACATTTGGCAAGATTTTCAAACCAGTTGCTGAAATCATGCTTGCAAGTACCTGCAGGTTTGTGAGCAGAGCAGATTCCCTTGCAAGCCAAAGTGACCGAGGCCAGCTGCATGCTGGGACTGCATGCATGGGGATCTGTTTGCAAAAGCTTTATCCCACTTTTCATGTGTCCAGACTTCATGCATTTTATATTTTATTTTTTTGTAATAGATCCCCCAGATTTTGCCCCTCCAAAAGTTAAAAGGAGCTCAGGCAGCAAGAAGCCGTTCACAGTCTGCCTGTACAGACCTGGGCTCTAGCAGGTACAAGCAAAAGCAAGGCATAGATACACACCCTCCTCTTTCCAATACCTGATCTGGAGGAGGGATTCACATGGCTCTCCTTTCCCTTTGCCACCTCCTCCAACTTCAAAGAGGACACACCATGCAGAGACATCTCAGGACTGCGCTGAGTGGGCAGCAGCCAGGGAGAGCTCAGGAAGGGCTCAGGACTCACTTTGGCATTGGCCAGAGCCAAAAAAAAAAAGGCAGGTATTTACATGCACAGACACAGCCACTCTAACAGCTTATGTCTCCAGAACAACTGCACATGCAAGTTGCAGAAACATGCAAAACCAGAACTGTAAA